ACCTCACAGCCTCAAGTCCTGAAGGCCTGTGGTTCATCCTGTCCCTTGGATGCTTGAACAAGAGAAGGGGACTTTACAAAATGTCACTGTCATGAAAAATAAGCAAAAGCAGAGGACTCCTGGTATGGCGCTGTAGGATCAGCACTGGACTTTGAACCACAAAGTCGGCAGTTCAAATCCACCAGCTACTCCTCAGAAACCCTATACAGGGGTCACTATGAGTTGGAACCAACTTGATGACACTTAACAACATACTAGATTAAGAATCCTGGTGTGGCACTGTAAGATCATCTCTGGCAGGTTGGCAGTTCAAACCCACCAGCCATTCTTCAGAAACCCTACACAGGGTGGCTATGAATGAGTCAGAACCTACTCGACAGCACTTAGCAATAACAGTATACTATGAGTGTGAGTCAAAATTTATCCGCACTCTGGCTGTAGAATTTCTTTTAATCAACTTTTAGAAAAGACAAATACATCATTTTTCAATATAATATTCTTGCTCAAAACACTTTGTCCATCTGTCAATAAGCTTTCATATTCTCTTATTTAAAAATGTGTTAGACTAATCTGCAAGGCACGAATGTACCATTGTCTTCACTTCTTTATTAGAGGTGAATCTTCATCCTCCAAGGATTGCTTTCAAGGGCCCAAACAGGTGAAAGTCCGATGGAGCAAGATCAGAACTATAGGAACGATGCATTAACATCCCAAAATGAAGTTTTTGCAGAGTGTCAACAGTATGGGCAGAGGTATGTGGATATGCATTGTCATGCAAGATCACAACCACACCACCCTTGGATAGCAGTCCTCTGCATTTAATCTGAAGTTAATGCTTCAGTTTTTCAGTGAGCATCTCACTGTAATGAGCACTGTTAACTGTTGAACATTTTTCCTGATAGTGTTCCAATACTGGTCCTTGAGAATCCACCAAAATTGTAAGCATCAATTTTCCAGTTGATGGCTGACTTTTGAACTTTTTCTTGGTCGGCAGTTGAGGATGTTTCCAGTTCTTAGGCTTGTTGTGATGAATCCATGTCTAGTCACCAGTACTGATTTTTTTTTAAAAAAAGAAACTTACATTTCTTAGAGTTTTGGTCCAAATTGTATTTGCAGATGTCCAAATGCTTCTGTTTATGTTCTCCCATGAGTTGTTTCGGTACCCATCTTTTCAAACCCCAAGTCTGTCATGGATTATTTCACAAGCAGAGCTATGGCTGATTTGTAAATACTTTGCCACCTAATCCACTGTCACTTGTCTATTTGACAGAATCATTTCACGTACACACTCAATGTTGTCATTAGCTGTGGACATGGTCTCTCTCTATCTATATCTATATCTATATCTAGATAGATAGAGAGAGAGAGAGAGAGACAGAGAGAGAAAGCAAACATAGCAGCGTGAAACTACCAGCCGTTCCGCGGGAGAAAGATGAGGCTTTCTACTCCCGTAAAGATTTACACCCTCGGAAACCCTGTACAGGGTCACTATGGGTCGGAACCGACTCGATGGCACTTAACAACAACAACAACAAACAATTGGTTGAGCCCAAAAGAAGGGCATACAGGTGGTTGTTGTATTGTTCTTTCAAATTTGCTGTACATTTGAAATTTTTCAAAATGAAAAGCTGAGGGGAAAATACCTTTGGTACAAAAAGATAAAACAACCCAGTTGCTATTGAGTCAGTTGTGCTTCATGAAGACTCCATGTGTGTCAGAGTAGAACTGTGCTCCATAGACTATTTTTTTTGGAAACAGATCACCAGACCTTTCTTCTGAGGTACCTCTGGGTGGACTTGAACCTCCAACCTTTCAGTTAGCAGCTCAGTGTGTTAACTGTTTACACTGAAACAGAGCAATACTAACCATCTAGGGAACAGTGAAGTACTGTTCCCAGAGAGCTCAGGGAAACATACCAACTATTTGTGACTCAGTCATCCTTCCAACCATACTGTCCAGAAAACATCAAAACTCTAACAGCTTGTCCTGACCATCACCCCACTCTCAGCATCTTTCATACAAACTCTTCCAGGTCCTCAGCTGATGTGTGACTAGCTACCCACTGACTTTATTAGGATGGTACCTAAAGTGCCTTAAAGGGCTACAGCTCATCCCCTAGAGAGTAAAGGAAACACATTTAATAAATGATTCAACTTGGGTTTTTCAAAAGTTATGTTCACTTTCACAAAACGGATTTGAAGTACATAAAATTCCAGGATTTAATTATTTTACATTCTCTTTGCGTCTTTGACAATGAAGATATTTCCCACCCATGTCAGCTGATTAATATGCTAGTCATTGCTTCTTCCTCACTAACTTTTTTTCTTATGGGCATTTCCTTGGATTTATTGAACTTTGCCCCACATTCCTGGTGTGGCGCTGTAGGATAAGCACTGGGCTGCTAACTACAAGGTTGGCAGTTCAAACATATCAGCTGCTCCTTGGAAACCCTACAAGGGGTCGCTATGAGTCACAACTGATTCCACAGCACTTCATAACAACAACATGGAACTCTGAAAGGTACCACCTCAGGAACAAGATGAGGTTCTGCTCCTGTACAGATTTATAGCCTCAGAAACCCCATGGAGCACTTCTACTCTGTCCAGTGGGTTGCCATGAGTTGGAACTGATTGGATGGCAGGCAGTTTGGGTTTTTGGCTTTATGGAACACTGAAAACAGAGACTACCAGAAAGATATTTACCTTTGTCTAACTGACTACACAAAGGCATTCAACTGTGTCGATCATAAAAAATTATGGATAACATTGTGAAGAATGGGAATTCCAGACACTTAATTGTGTTCATGTGGAATCTGTACATAGGCTAAGAGACAGTTTGGATAGAATAAGGGGATACTTCGTGGTTCAAAATCAGGAAAAGTGTGTGTCAGGGTTGTATCCTTCCACCATGCTTATTTAATTTGCATGCTGAGCAAATATCCTAAGAAGCTGGACTATATGAAGAACACTGCATCAGGATTGGAGAAGGACCCATTAACAACCTGCAGTATGCCACAATCTTACTTGTTGAAAACTAATAGGAATTAATGCATTTACTGATGAAAATCAAAGACTACAGCCTTCAGTATGGATTATACTTCAATATCCTTACTAATAAACCAATAAATAATATCTAGATAAATGGAGAAAAGATTGAAGCTGTCAAGGATTTCCTTTTCCTTTAAAGGATTCACTTAGATCCATAATCAATATCTGTTGTTGTTGTTGTTGTTGTTGTTAAGTGCCGTCGAGTCAATTCCGACCCATAGCGACCCTGTATAGGGTTTCCAAGGAGCAGCTGGTGACCTTGCAGTTCAAACGGCTTTGAAGTCTGGCGCATTAACCCACAGCACCACACCAGGACTCACAATCAATGCCTGTGGAAGAGATTAAAGGGCATATTGCATTGAGCAAATCTGCTGCAAAAGATCTTTTTAAGGTAAAAAGCAAAGATGTCACTTTAAGAATTAAAGCGTGCCTGACATAAGCCATGATGTTTTCAGTCACCTCATATGCATGTGAAGTCTGGACAATTAAATGAATAAAGAAGACTAGAAAAAAATGATGCCTTTGAATTATGGTGTCGGTGAAAAATATCGACCGTCCCACGGATTGCCAGAAGCATGAACAAATCTGTGCTGGGAAAAGTACAGCTGGAAAGCTCCTTAGAATCCAGGATGGTGAGACTTTGTCTTTGTCTTTTGGACGTGAGAGATCAGTCCCTGGAGAAGGGCTTCAAGATTGGTAAAGTTGTTATTTTAAGACTTCATGCTTGGTAAAGTTGTTGTTAAAGTGCCATCAAGTTTTTCTCATAGTGACCATGTTGTAACAACAATCATGTATAGATAGGGTTTCCGAGAAGCGGTTAGTGTGTTTGAACTGCCGATCTTGTGCTTATTCTACAGTGTCACACCAGGACTCCATAGTGAACGTATGGGGCTGTCAATCTTTGTGGGAGCAGAGTCTCATAATTCTTCTGAGGAGCAGCTGGTGGACTCAAACCTCTGACCTTGTAGTTAGCAGTCCAGTACTTATTCTACAGAGCCACCACGCTCTGGTGTTGTTGTTGTTGTTGTTGTTGTGTGCCGTAGAGTAGGTTCCCACTCATAATGACCCTGCACAGGGTTTCCGAGGCTGTAAATCTTTACGGGAGCAGAAAGCCTCATCTTTCTCCCGCGGAACAGCTGGTAGTTTCGAACTGCTGACCTTGCTGTTCGATTCCTAACCACTACACTACCAGAGCTCCTTATGCTTTGGTAGAGGGTCGGCAAAAAAGAGGAAGACCTTCAATGAGGCCGACTGGCACAGTGGCTGCAACTATAGCCCCAAACACAGGGCAGGACAAGGGAGGAAGTGTCCTTTCATTCCGCTGTACACAGGGCTACTACTAGGAGTCAGAACTCATTGCACTTCAAACACAAACATGAAACACTCTGACGCGATCACTAACCTAACAACAACATGAAACACTCTGACGCGCTCACTTTCATTAGTGTGGGGCACAAGGGTTATTTCCAAAGTCCATATTGACCTGATCACGAACGCCCTTCCGAAGTAGGGAACGTGCCCGTTTCCCTTCCTTTCTCGGGGAGAAGAGAGGTAGAGAAGGGCCAGACCTGGGCGAGGGGAGTGGCCCATCTCCCTAGCAAGGCGTAGGCTGGGCGAGGTCCCCAGCCCACCAGGCCGTGCCAACAATGGCCTGTTGTAAAAGGAGGCAGGAAGGAATGCAGCCCGGGGAGTTGGGCGGCGGGGCGGCTGCTGCGGTGGCGGCCGTGGGGCGGAGCCAGGTCTCAGCGGCAGCCTCTTACCTGTCCAGGTAGCTCGCATTTCGAGGCGAGCGGCGGCGCCCGCAGCACCTGCCGCCTGGTGCGCGGGCGGGGAGTACGGCTGGGGACATGGCCTGGTAGAGTCCTCTGGGGAGAGCGTGCGGAGTTCGGTCTGGGGTCAGGCAGGGCGAGGGAGGGAGGGTCCTTCCTTGGTCCTCGTGCGGCCTGCGGCAGCATGAAAAAGAACCAGACTGTGCAGGGAACCTTCAGTAAACTCTTCGGGAAGAAGCATGCCAGCCCCACCACCACCTCCCTCTACGCCACCAACCCTCCCTGGATTTTCACCCAAGAGGCCCCGGAAGAGGGGAGCAGAGATTTTGGTAAGTGCGTCGGAAGGGAGGGGAGGACGCTAGGGGGAGTTGGCTGGCTGCGCCCCTATCCCGGGAAGACCGCGGGCCGCGCCACCTTCCCTCCTGGTCTCCGGGAGAGCGGGGCAGGAACACGTTAGGACCTGTGGCCGAGAGGAAGCTGCTGGGAAGGGGAGGAGGCGCCGCACCAGGCTGGCTCTGGGACTGGGCGGATGTGGGAGAGGTGCAGGGTAGGCGGGAACACTGCCCTAAGAAACGTCGGGCAGGCAACTTAGCGGGCTCTGACTATCCCCAGCCTCTCTTCTGGGGTGTTTTTTTTCCCTCTTGATGGAGGTTTTTGTGTTTTGTTGCAACTTAAGGCTTTCTGGGGTTTTCCAGTCTCTCTGAGTCAGAGATGGGGGAGTGGGAGGTCATAGCGTCCCTCATCCATTACGCTTCATGTGTTCTCCCCAGTCCCAGTCCCAGGCCCAGGCCTTGCCTGGCCCAAGCTCCACAAGCTGGTTCCCATAGGCTGAGAGAGGGGGCTCTTCTGGGCGCACACACACTTGGCTCTGTATGAGTGAATATGTACAGGAACCACCACTTGGAGGATACCAGCTTGTGAATGACATCAAGTCTCTTGGGGTCACAGACTCTTGCGGGATCAACCTGGGGTCTGGGTCTCCCAAAAGGAGCCAGAAATGGGGCAGTGGAAGCCACTGGCCTCTAAGTCAGGTAAGTTGTACAAGTATCTCAGCAGGCATCAGAAAACACTACATCCTGGAGTCCTGGATGGGGATCATCTTATCCCTGCATCTCTCAGCAATCTGCAGAGCCAGGGAGGGCAAGAATTCAGTTCTTGTATATGACTCTTGGCTCTGGATACAGGGGAGGGTACTTCTGGGTCCAAGAACGGTCACCCATCACTGTGTTAGCCTACCTAACAGCATATTCTCCTCATTTACTCTGGGAGGGAACTTCAGAAAGACTATGGAAGAATGAAATGAAAAGATCATGGAGTTTATGGCTCCTTGTGCTGGGCCCCAGAGGATGTTGCAGCCTCTGCGCAACTGTTAGATTCATGTCAACACCCAGTTTGCCAAGGTCAGGATAGAAGGCATCATGGATAGAAGGAGATGTCGCTACTTGCTGGCCCAAGGATTTCAAACCAATGGGTGGTGAACATAAGTAACCATATGCCATTTAGCCCTTTCTGAGTCTTTAATGTGAGAGATTTTTAAGTACAGAGGGTTAGGGAAGAGAGGTAAGCGCTGAGTGGAAATAGCATTACAGCTGAGAAAGGGCATTCCTAACAGCAAATTACAGGAGCAAAGGCAAGGAGGGGCAGGGTGTGTTGGAGGCATGGTTGTTGTTGTTAAGTGACGTCAAGTCAGTTCCAACCCATAGCGAACCTGTATAGGGTTTACAAGGAGCAGTTGGTGAGCTTGAACTGGTGACCTTGTGGTTCAACTTGACTTTGCAGTCCAGTGCATTTGCCCACAGGCATGATTGTTATTGTTGTGAAGTACCGTCAAGTCGGTTCTGGTCCATAGCGACCCTCTTTATGGTTTCCGAGAAGCAGCTGGTGAACTTGAACCTCCAACCTTGCAGTTCAAATGGCTTTGCAGCCTGACACATTAACCCACAGTGCCACACCAGAACTCCCACAGGAATGGTTAGGAACTTGAAAATCACAGATGTGCTGGCACGTATAACCCTGTGAGGCCAGAACCACACTCCTCACCTGAATCAAAACGATATGTAGCAAATGCTTAGTGGGTGCCATTCTCAAGTCTTTGTGTTGTTGACTCATTAAGTCCTCTCATCTAGCTTATGAGGCACCCGCACTATTATTATCATTCCGATTGGACAGGTGAGGAGATTGAAGCAACAGGACAAGTCACATGCCCAACATCATTCAGCTTTAAATGGCAGAGTCAGGACTTGTTTCTTGAAGTGTACAATTCAATGATTTATAATTGCTGTTGTTGTTAAGTACTGCCGTCGAGTCAGTTCTGACTCATAGCAGCCCTGTATAGGGTGTCTGAGGAGCTCCTGGGGAGCTTGAGCCGCCGACCTTGCAGTCCAGCGCATTAACCCAGGACTCTCATGATTTGTAATAGGTTCCTAGAAGTGTGTAACCATCACGACAACCCAGTGTTAGAGCATTTCTGTCACCTCCAAAATGTTCCCTCAAGAGGCAGAGCCAATATTTGAGCCCCACAGTTAGACTAGAAGGAGCCCTGGTGATGCGGATTAAGCATTGGACTGATAACTTCAGGGTCAATGGTTCAAACTCACCAGTGTCTCTGTGAGAGAATTATGAAGTTGTCTGCTTCTATAAGGATTTATGGCCTTGGAAACCCTATGGGGGCAGTTCTCTTCTGTCCTATTGGGAACCCTATGGAACAGTTCTCCTCTGTCCTATAGGATTATTGAGTCAGAATCTTGAGTCACACTCATGACACCACACACTCTTAATCCATTTGCTGAACTGACTATGAAGGAAGGAGATCTTAACTTCTGCCTTATGAGCCACTAAGAGAAATCTTGGAAATGCCTCTTATGCACTTTCTCTCTATTTTGGCTTGGATAGAGAGCAGGGATCTGTCTCTCTATTGGGAGACGTGTGGGCATGATGCACTGTCATGTCAACACAGCCATTTGCCTTCCCCAACCTGGATTGGGCTGGTGCCCAAGGGCAGCTCCCGTTCCCCAGGGCAGGGCTGGGCATCCAGCTGAGTCAGCCTGGTGGAGCCCTGCACATGGAGGGCTGGAGAACCAAGCACGCACTGAGCAGAATGATTCCTTAGTTTCCGGGGTGTTATCCAGGCAGCCTTGGGGCGTGGCAGTGGCCTTCCTCCCTGCAGAACAGGACACATGGTCTGGAGGTGAGGGAAGTAAGGTGGAGCTGGTATTGTAGATTCTGTGATGTGGTGGAGAGAGATGCCAGACTTGGTCTGGAGTTAATAATGCAGGTGTTAGTCACTCCTTGGAAACACTGTACAAGCGCGCGATGAGTAGGAACCAACTCCATAGCACTTAACAGCAGTCCTGGTGTGACACTAAGATAAGCACTTGACCGATAATCACAAGGTTGGCAGTTCAAACCCACCAGGTGCTCCTCAGAAACCTTATATAAGGTCATTATGAGTCAGAATTAACTGGACAGCACTTAACAACAACAAAGTTACTCTCTGGGCCTCAGTTTTTTTCTTCTGTGAAATGGGGTTGGTGTTGAGACTGCCTACAGGACAGTTAAAGAAGAGCATTACAAAAATAAAAGCTCTAAACCAAGGATTGGCAAACTGTAGGACCAGGTCAAATCAGGCCTATGACCTGTTTTGTAAATAACGTTTTTATGATAACACCATCAGCCATGCCCGTCAGTTACACATTGTCTATGGCTGCTCTCATGCTCAGGAGTCCTGGTGTGGCACTAAGGTTAATGCACTGGACTGCAAAGTTAGGTTTGAACCACAAGATCGGCAGTTCAAGCTCACCAACTGCTCCTCAGAAACCCTATACAGGGTCACTATGGGTTGGAATCGACTTGACGGCACTTCACAACAACAACAACCACAAGCTCTCATGCTCTAATAGCATAGTGGTTACAGGTTGGGCTGCTAATCTCACTGTCAGCAGTTTGAAACTACCAGCTGTTCCTCGGGAGAGAGATGTGGTTTTTCTGCTCCCAGAAGGGTTTACAGCTTCAGAAACCCTTATACACTGGCAAGTTGAGTAGTTGCAACACGTGCAGCAGAGACCTGATGGTCTGTAAAGCCAAAAATATTTTATCTGACCCATTACAGAAGTGTGTCCATCCCTGCTCTAAAAGATGATTTATTACTATTGGTCTTTCTCAACTATAATCACATCCTGCTCTCGCTTCTTCAGCTCTTCCTGACATTGCTGTAGACTGGAGAGAGACTGAGGCTGTCTTACGGTCTTAAAAGGTTAGAGTTCCATAGGGCCACTGAGTCTAACATTCTCCTGGAGCCTGGGGTGAGTTGCAGGCAGTAAGTATCCAAACCCTTGGAGAAGAGGCAGTGAGATGGAGGGGAAATCACTGTAGGGGTATGTGAAGGAATTAATGAATAACTGCTAGCTCTATGGCTGCATTCCTGTAAATATGTGTTTTGCACAAGGGCAGGCTGGCAGCAGCGGGTAAGCAAACAGTCACATGAAGGTGGTGACAGGTACGTTTTTCGTTAAAGAATTTTCCAAACATTTAGTCCAGTTAACTATTAGGCAAGCTTCACTTCAGGTAACTGCAATCCTAATTAAACTCTGTCCCTTCCCTCAGCCCAAGCAAGAATCTTAAAAGGCTACCCAATCATTTTTTAAATGCTTGAGAAAGCCGAATAGAGATGATGTGGACTTTGCAAAGCCCAAAATGAGGGACTGGGGTGCTGCTGGAGGCCAACTTCCAGTCACTCTGGACTCCTCCCTTACTTGGATTAATTTGGATTATCTACCCCCACCACACTACACCCCAGCAATGGGGCACGCTTGTTCTCTGGGGAATTCTTCTTCCTGCCCTGCTCCTCCAATTGTAAACTACCTGCATCAAAACCATTTAGGCTATTTGTGTAAAATGCTGATTCCTGGGACCCCACAGCAGTCACACAAGACCAGAATCCCTAGGCTGGGTTTTTAACCAGCTCCTGGGTATTTTGAACTGAATTTAAGAACCCTGGGCTTTCTTTTCCCCATGGAACTGGGCTATTTTTTCCCCCTAAGACTCTCTGCAGGGCACACACACACACAAAATCCCACTGCCATGGAATTGCCCTTGGATTTCTGAGACTATAAATCTTTATGGGAGCAGAGAGCCTCATCTTTTTCCTGAAGAGTGGCTGGTGGAATTTGAACTGCTGACCTTGTGGTTAGCAGCCCAATGCCTAGCCCACAGTGCCACCAGGGCCCCTTTTTACAGGGCACACGGTAGGTGTGGCACTTCAGGATAAGCACTGGACTGCTAACCACAAGGTTGGCGGTTCAAATCACCAGCCGCTCCTTGGAATCCCTAT